CCCCCCCCTCCCCAGCCTTGTGTTTTACTTCTTAATAATTTATTCAAAATCTGAAATAAAAAAAAAAAATCAAAGAATTGTGTTTAAATTGTAAAGATCCATGAAGTGATAGAATTCAAACCCTTAAGAACCAATAAAAAAATGTTTGCATTTTATATTTTCTGAGGGCAGTTACAAAGAAAATCAAGTTTTTAAAAATATAAGCCCCTATTAAAGCGTTTGAGAAAAAAAAAGTCACATTCAGCATGACAACAACAAAAACAGGAAGGAAAGGTTACTTTTCCAAAAGTTTCCATGCCATCAAAATCTATTTTTCCCCAATGTATATCAGAGGTAAAAATGAGTCTGTGATATGGTTTATGTTTGACATTTATGCAGTTTCTCAATTGTTTGCAATAGGCAATAAAAGGGAAAATGCTTGCAAGATCAGATTTTGACGTCATTGTGACGTATGAAGTCAACGTTCATCATTTAAGTACCTGCACACTTTGAGGTTGTGACACGCGGCGTGTCACACGCCCACTCAAATCTGGAAAACTGGCTGAGCGGCGACAATCTGCCTGCATCACTTTTACATCAGCTGCCAACCAATAACTTGACCAAACAATGGCACAGTGCATTGATATGTTGCAGAAAATCTTAAATGCAGTATTACCACAATGACTATTTCTATTACTACAGTACAGTATCTCATCTATGTAGGGTGCAACATCGCACCTTGATTTCAGTTCTTTAATAACAAAATCAGTTACATATGTTGAATGTTTCTTTTTAAAATATGGCAAACTCCCAAACTGTTGGGCTGGCATCTACGGAAAAAGGATATGTGGTCCTGAATACTGTACTGAATATTTGCATTCTTAGTCAAGAGTGGTGTCAAAGGGATAAACTTCCCTTTTCGATCCCGTTGCTGTGCAGAAGTGACAACAGGTGTAGTGTCGTGTGTCAATGGCCACACGATTGGTACCCAAACACTGGGAATAGGGCCAGTCACAACTTTTGATAAAGGAAACAAAAAATACTAAATACCTACAGGAAATGGAATGAACTGCTTGGTTGAGTACATTGAGTACAGTATCATTTTGGTAACAGTACAACTGAAAGCAGAAGTCCCCGGATGCAAATGTATCACAGTTTTGCTGCAACCCTTTGGAAATGTAGAAGTACACAGAACTCTCATTTCGGATCAAGACAACATGAGCTGTGTGTGTTTGAAGTAGACCACCGAGGGGCTCAAAAAGTGCAACGACAAAACTGGAAAGAGCAGTGCCGGGCGGGAGGTTGACTCAATCGGGGCTCGCCTGGAGGCCCGCACCTTCACTATTACTCACGGCGCTGGCCGACTTCTCGGAACCAGGAACCACAGAGAGGAACTTGATTCAACGTGAAACCACCTTGAGCTGTTTATTGTTGAGCGTCCGCCCTAAAATTATTTTTTGAAAAAAAAAAAAAAAACAGCATCTTCATGTGTTGAGTCAAATGAAAATATCAATAACATCCATCGTGGTTTTTCATACTTCCAATGTATCGAAAGTGACGGTCTGATCGGCAATGTGAGGTTTCGTGTTTGAATATTTGCCCTGACTCATTCTCAGCCTTTTAACAGCCACTCAGTATTTGTCTGGTCACAATAGTTCACGCTCAATGTCATGTGCACATGGAGCACTTTTAATAGCTCCTTCTCTTCTTCTGCGCACTGGTACACTTCTCTAATAAGACGCTTTTGTGCAGACTCGCATTGTTTCATTTCTACTTCCTTGCAAACCACAAATAGTGACATTGTCAATTCCTTTCACCGAGTTTGTGGGCAGTTTGAAATGTGTCAGGGATGCAATAACTACTTATGGGATGTTTTGTCGATTTTTATTTATTTTTTTTATGAATTGTGAATTGCGTTTTTTAGCAAGAGACTTACAGAGCAACCCCCTTCAAACATGCCACTTTTGCTGCAGACAAGATATGTCTTGATATGGTGGGAAGGAGGTCACATTTATCGATCCGATACAGACAAATTAGGCCGATACTGAAAGCCGCATTAAAATACACGAATGTAGAACCAGCCGATTCTCATCAACTCTAAAGTATATTTATTGTAAATAATGAAACTTGAGGTAAATATTTTCACGAGAACACGGTCTCATCCATTCGAATTGGAGCCGCAGCCGCGGCTTCCTTTGGCGTAACCCAGCCGGACTACCGTGACGTCGTCTCGCAGATGGCCTCCTCTAGGTGACCACCAGAGAGTGCTGACGACCGAGCCGTGACTTTTCCCTATTAATTTTACTTTTACTTTTGTTGCTGGACGCCATAATCGTGTGAATTTAATCAACGTCGAATTCCAGTACTATCTGAGGAGTTTCAACGACTTTTCACAGTACTTTCAACATCGCGGACGAGATGACGCGCGACCAGCGGGACCTCCGTGGTTTGTTGTCGGGTCTGGTTGGCACTGTAGTCGGCGTAGGCAACGTAAACAAAGGCGAGCCAGCGGAGCTTCATCGCACTTTTCGACATCCCGGACGATATAGCCAAACAGTGCGACCTCTGTGGTTGTTGTCGCGTCTGGTAGGCGGCATAGGCAGTGTAAAAAAAGCGGACCAGCCGAGCCGAGCTGTATCGCTCAAATAAATAAATGCTAATAGTGAGGATAAGTGGTTCAGAAAATGGATGGATGGAGAGCAAAAGCCATGACATTGCTCTGTGTCCTATTGTACTTGTCGGGATACATTAGGCCACGGCTCGTTGAAGTGGAGTTATGGTGAGTGATATTTTTAAATATTTTGGTCCGTGAAAACGTCACCACGTAGACGTATAACTGTATCAATTAATCGTTCGATGAGTAAAATGGATAGATTATTTTTTAGGGGTGGGTGGGGCGGGATAAATATGAATTGTCATGCCTGTTGGTTTACATAAATCAACATTAACTCGCGCTGCTTCCCTCTCGTGTGTGTGCGCGCGTGTGCGTGTGATAATAGTGCATCACTACTTTTAATCCATCTTCAGTTTTGCCCTTTGCCTTGTTTAAATAACACACATATATTTTTAATACAAATACACATATGCGAATATTCTCATGTCACAATTCAATTTTCCCTAGGGAATTAAAGTACCGGTACTGTATATGAATGGATGTATGGTTGTCCTAATGCAGTGCTTTTGTCCACCTTAGACATCTCCCCGGGTCACTGAGGTCCATCACGAATGTAAGGAAGGATCCAGCCTGCTGCATATAGAGGAGAAGTTATTTGTATCAAGTCTGCACTCCTTCATGAAGGAACGGGGTTCGCCCATTGAAAGGATTCCACATTTGGGCTTTAAACAGAGTGAGTGTGTGACTGTTCAAAACTGTAAGAATACTAAGATAATAGCCAGTGTACTTGAGTTAACTTCTGACATGTTTGTTTTTACTCCCAGTTGACCTTTGGATGATCTTTAAAGCAGTTGAGAAATTGGGCGGATATAATTCAGTAAGTCAGTCTAATGCATTGAAATATTCATTTACTGCTGGTGCAAACAACACAGATGTTTATCAAGTGGAAGAGAAGCATTCGACAAATACTTAGATCTCGATACATTGCCATGACTAGCTTGCATGGCACTGATCTTTTGCACAGCGCTATTTAGTGGCATTTAGCAGTCAATTTACCACTTCTCGTTCCCAAACTAACAGAACATGAACATGGATGTATGCACCGAGCCCATCCATCCATTTTCCATAACTCTTATCGCCACAAGGGTCACAGGCGTGCTGGCCCATGAATTCAATTTTAATCTACCGTTCACACACAGCTGCGTGTTAATATAATTAACAAAGCGTCACCACTTTGTTAATTATTTTGAAGACTTGACTGCAATATATTTTCGAGGCTACAATAAAATGATAGACGGGTGTTAATTCCCACAATGGCCTGGACAGCTCATTCTTACTGACTTATTCATGTTCTCTGCTTGTATCATACATGAAGCAAATATACTGTACTTCATCAGTGGTATGATGGGGCACCAACCACTTTATCAAGAAAATTACAGTGATCTGTTATTCTCTTCAAAGAGCAGTGTAGGTACGGCCCCAAGCAGCCACTAAGCTGCCTTATGCCTCAGGCCGCCACTGGGGACAAGAGACTGCTGGCCCTGCATAGAGAAAGGACAGTGTTGACAAAACAGGCACACACATTAGTAATCACAATTTTTTCCTAAATAGCACTGCATGGATTATGACTCGTTTGTTTATGACTGTTAATTTCCCAGGTGAATCACTCCTCAGAAGGAACACTTTTTTGTTTTTTCCACAGAATCTTATGTTGCCCCATTTGCAGATACGGGGGGTACTTTGCAACTTATATCTAAATTCAGGTCATGTCACTACTGTAGAATGAAACTTCACCGTACACCGAGACCAAATTTACTTTTTGATTTAGTTTGATTTTTGCACGATATATTTTGAATCCACAATTACGCTCAGGATGTAATTGATACACCAACACATGCACATGATATTTAGATGAGGGGACTTGACATCAACACATGAACATTTCAGCTCCTTCTACTGTGAGTCATAAATTTAGCACCCTGTGCCTGCATTTCTTAAAGTATGATTAAGAGAGGGGCTATTTCCGAATGGGAACATTCTGAGTCTTGTCTACTATTTGAAAATGGGTCTTAAAATGGATCTTCATGAATTTATATTTTTACTAATTCCATACAAATGCTACAAACGGTTCGGGCAAGCACATGTGTATTGAGTCAAAACAGCAGTGGTGGGACCAGTGTGTTGTATTTGTGGTTGTCCAACAAAACCAAGTTTTTATTTATTTTTTTATTTTTAATGTTTGTCATGAATAATGTCATAAAGTGATATGGTCAACAGGTGACAGCACGACGCCTGTGGAAGAAAGTGTATGATGAACTGGGAGGAAGTCCCGGTAGCACCAGTGCTGCAACCTGCACTCGCAGACACTATGAGAGGTAAAGCCAATCAGATATTACATGTATTAATTGATGTTTATCCATACATTCTGACTCATGTTGCAGGCTAGTGTTGCCTTATGAAAGACACCTAAAAGGAGAAGATGATAAGCCTCTGCCTCTCAGCAAACCAAGGAAGCCTTATAAAAGGAATTCGGGAGGGAAAATAAAAGCAGCGTGGAAGGGGAAAAGGAGCAAAACAGACAGAGAAAAAGATTCGGAGGTATCAACATGTCATGCTGGATGAAAGCAGATGAAAGTTTCCTGTGTAGTGATTATTCATACTTTCAACTGTTTTGTTTTGCAGAGGCTGCTTTCAGAGGCCGCTAGTCGGAGTGGAGCAGTGGTGCATCCTGATTCTGCTCTCTGGTCGGCTAACACTGACAGGCACCAGCCACAAGTGCCTCTTGCCCCTGACCTTTATGCATATTCACACCTGCTGCACAGCCCCGCAACAACAGCCTGGCCTGCGAACATCTCCTCAGCTGTTGGAGAGGTCATCTCCCCTCTGGAGAAAAAGAAGCGCGTAGCACAGGCCAGCCTTCGAGCGGATCCGCAGGGGGAGAGTGACAGGGCTTCTGTTATTCACCGCTCCACGTCACCAGCCTCTGGCAGCCACAAGTGTGACTCCTCTGACAGCTCGCCTCGCCCTCTCTCTTCCTCCTCCTTCTCCTCCAGGAGCCCATCCCTGTGCTCCATCTCATCAGAGGACGAACAGAACTCTGCACCGAGCTCAGATTTGGCCCCCGATTGTTTCATCCGAAATGATGACACACCCAGGGGACAAACGTCAAAAGATACAACAGGAGAGAGGAAAGATAGAGATCAAGTCAACTCCTCAAAGGATAAAAATCACATGAGAGAGCCTAAAGCTTCCACCAAAGACCTCACATATTCCTTTCACTCTTCGACCAAATTGAAGTCTGACTGTGTACCAACATCTTCCTCTGGTTTCATCAAAGTTTTGACCAAATCGGCACAGTTACCGCGCCCCGCGCCGATCTGGCCAGGCCACAGAATCCAACACGGGGCTTTGACGCATCACAGCAAATCTTTAAAAAACATCCCTCCGGACTCATTGCCCTCATGGGAAACGTTCAGGGCAATGCCAACAAAGTTTCCTCCCACCCAGCAGAGGCCATCCCACGCCACTTACATCACGCCGTCTTACAACATGTCAGCGAGAGACTCTCATCTCCAGACCACGCTGCAGCAAACGGCCTTCCTCCCCAGAATGAGAATACCTCAGTCTCAGGTCCCATACCGCCATCTTCCTGTCAGTACGCCTCACTCTGCTCTCATTTACCCCTACCCGTACACCATCCCTCTGTGGGGTCCCCGCACTTCATACACCATTCCCACCTTTTATACTCAACACAAACTGTGATTCTTTCATTTTATCTCCAGGTGTTAGCAATTTCAGCTTGTGGAAAAATACCTTTATTACAATTTCAGTGGAATCTCCAAACATTCATGGATTTGCATATTCATGGGTTTCATATTTTGGATTTTCCCCATTTTTTCTGGGATTTTAATTCTTTGTTCCCTATGCTTTTTGTGGAACTGTTTACTGTGTTTTTTAACCCAAAAATAGGTGGGGAGGAACACTTTTCTGGGGAGGATAATTAGTTGCCCATCCTTGCACTCGATGACAAATGGTACCTTGTACCCACCAGTCGCCATTCATACAACAGATTTGTACCTTTTTGTTCAACAAGGTCTTAGATTTCACACTGAGGAAGTAAATTTGTGAGTAAACGGAAACAAGTCTATCAGTATTTCAGATACCTTTTGGAAAATATGTGTGTTATTTAGTATAGTTCATTGGTTTTGGTTCCTTTTTAAAATGCACAAACATCTACCGCCAAAAATGTTAAGGCCGCAGTATCGCCTTCAATTTCATCTGAAACAACATTTATAAATATGTCAAAATGCTGGGACAAGCTGCAAAGTTTAATAAAAGTTGAATATACTATCATCTTCTTCTTCTTCTCCTTTCGGCACGTCCCTATTCAGGGGTCACCACAGCGAGTCAGTAATTTCCATCCGCCCCTGTAAACCGTCCTACCAACTCGCATGGTCGTCTTGGCAAAAGTTTTACGCCAATATACTATCATCTTAATTGTCTTTATTTTTAATGTGCACATACCTCAAATAATTCAGGCTGTAAGGTTATGATGCTTTTATAAGAGCAACTGCTTGATGTTGTGATATGCTGCGATTTACATTATCTGATTTGTCGATTAATTGCGACTGCTATCGGTCACTAGTCCACTTGCAAAATAATTGTTGGTGGCAGCCCTTTTCTAAAGTCTTTACCTACTATGCATGTTTTTGAAATGTGTAGCCAGAGTACCTGAAGAAAAGCCACACAACCTGGAACTCAGAGTTGAACCCTGAACTGTGAGCAAAACATGCTAAATATTATTCACCGTGTAGCCCCCTATTTAAAAAAAAATATATTATTCATGAACATGAATAAACTTCAATGTTATGCGGTGATGTTAAAACATGCACAGTTAAGTAGTGTCCTCATCCAGCAATTGTTGGCTTCAGCTATTGTCAGAAGACATGAATGCATTAAATGTGGCAATGTCATTCCATCAGAATAAAATTACAAAATCTGAAACCTTATTTCAGGTAAGGAATCTTGAATTACATTTTCTGACTCTTTGTCATGTTACCCTTCAGATAAGAAACCGTGCTCTTAATTTCCTGAATCTAAGTCACAGCTTCACTGATCTCTTTCATAGACAATAACATCGTCTATTGGAACCACAAACGGTAAATTCACATTTACATCAAAGTCCTTCTCAGTTACAAAGCAACTGTGTGACCTTTTCACATACCACACAGCTTCTGATGGTCATGGAATTTTACTGACAGTGGAAAAAAAACAAGAGAACATCCAGGTTAATTTTTAATTCTCACAGGCAAGACTGGCCCTAAAAATTTAAGACAGTGGAAGTAAATTTTTCATGTAATTGCACCTGTGCGACTAGAGATTTATTTTTTTAATTACTAGTCTTGAGTGTTTGTTGTTGCTAACAAACTTCAGTGAGACACTCAACCCATTTATCAATGATCTAGTGAAAATGAGTGGAGTGAATAATTACTTCGCAAGTCGTCTGACAGTGTGTGCCTCTACATGTTCTACTTTCCTCCCTATAATTTCAGGTGAGGGGCCAACGTGATCCTTGTAAAAAAAAAGTTCGTCTGGAGCCCTGATTCTCAGTTCTTTTGATTGACACATGTCTGTGTATCATCGTTAACGCTCACAGGATAATGCATTTAGTCTCATGTTCAACCATGACTATGTTTCCATAACAATGTTAAGACAATAAGCATGAAATAATGCAGCAAACATATTGTTTGATACTTTAAAAACGTTTAGGATCAACATTATTTATTTTTTGTCAACTGAACAGTTTGTGAAACTTTTCTCCTGCAATTTTTCAGTTCCAAACTCTTCTGTATTCTTCTGGAGAAAATTAATAATCCCACACAACAACCAAAAATACCAATTCCGCCAGGCTTCTGGATATTATAAAACGAGAACTATAATAATAGTGTTGTAATAAAGGCCATAATAATCTCCATGTTATGGTATGCAAAATTATGCATTGATGCACATGGCACTACGAGAACTACAATAGATCTAATTTGACCATTGCGCATACAGTATAGGAGCCAATGTGTTCTTTTATATGCTAAAGATTCAAATAGTCACCTATAATAGTAACTGGCATGGCATGTTTTAGCCCCGTTGCCTTTTAAAAAAAAAAAATCTCTTGTCAAGCACAAACCATTTGGATGTTACATACGACTATTTCAAACGCTCGTTATTCAATTGCTGTACTAAATAAATAAGACAAAATATACTAAAGTATAAGTTACGAACCGCAAAACGCTATGCCTTGCAGTCTAAAATCAGGTTCACGTTGATTTTTAAATGTACCATCTCGCGAGAACATCCGCAGAGGCGCGAATAAACAAGCGACTTGTTGCTGCCGACGGTGAGCTAGCAAATCAAGCAAACCAAACTTCGGCTGAGCTGCTTTCATTATCGTTTGAAATTAAAACTCAACCTGATAACACACAGGAAATAATGTCGAACCCGCTCTCTGACAACGACCCCAACCAAGAAGAATGTCAAGAGGATGACATGACTCCGGCCGACTTGATCGCGAAACTGGAGGAGGCCAGTTCTAGTTGTTTTTGAAAAATGTATAATACTGGACCCGTTCTAATGTTTCTCTCTATCGCAGGCTTGGCTCAATGAAAAGTTCTCACCGGAGTTGCTAGCCAACCAGGCCGAGGTGGTGGAGTGTGTCATGGAGCAACTCACACACATGGTATATTGACCCCCCCCCCTCCCCTCTTGCCCCCGTTTTTTGAAAAAATACCTCAAAGTTCAAGAAAGAAATAGAAGGGAATCCATAACCATCTAATTGACTTGCTGTCATTTTGAATGAGGGTCCACAGACATTTCTATTAATGTTCGCAGCAGTGTCACCATGGTAACAACTGTGCTGACTACCTTGACTCACGAGAAATCTACCTCCGACATCATCGATCTTTAATTTTGCTTTCTGACTCTGTGGACCATGACATGATGAATCAACTATGTGTACAGACCCGAGGTGCAGGCATAAACAAATAGGATACACAAGATAAAGCATTTAACAATTTTCATACACATACAGATACATCAGTAGGAGCAAGTCCCTCTTGTTAAAATGACAGTTTTGGGTGATGTATAGAATGACACCAAGATATGTAATTTCAAAATTCTTTCCACCATTATTGTAACTTGGGGGGGGGGAATCGGAAATGGTGAGTAAGTGTGCACACCCTCTGATGACTGGGGAGGTTACTGTGTTCAAAGTTTTGCAAAACCATCATGAGATGGGATTCAGCACACACCTACTACTTTTTAAGTGCTTTTCATAAAACCCAAATAAACATAGGCTTTTTATTTTTGACATTTTTAAACTCCCACAGCATCAGTGGGAGTTCATTGTTCAAAATGTGTTGCAGTCAGGAAAGCTTGCCAAAGAATTTCCAATACAATGAAACACAATCAGACAATCATCATCAAGTGGAGAAAAAAAATGCTGAAAAGATGACAAGAAAATTGTTCAGGGAGACGGCTAAGAAGCTGACAGTAAAATTTGAATAGCTGCAGAAATTTATGGCAAGTACTAGTTGTCTAGTACTTGCCATAAATGTACAATGTACAACAATGTTCCATCCTCTTCATGTCTGGCAATTGGTGTCGGACAGTTTTTGACTTGTTTACCCCTGAACCTTTTTTTCATTCCAGAAGTACCACTGTGACTCATACAGAAGTAGAACAAAACACAACTGATTATTAAATCAAATCTTTTTATTTCACTTAATTTGAACATTTAGTTTTTTGCCATTGTCGTTTTTTTAGTTAAAACTCAAATGAAATGAAAAAATATATATGTTGCCAATTGACAATAAATAAGTAACAAAGGAAAAAATAGGAATGCATCTGTTTGAAAGCAGAATTTAACAAATGGAAAAGCCTACCAGAATAGCTCAACATTATTTGGGGTTAATGAGTGGCCGGAGTCTGCTTCCTCCCATTTAACATGAGTTGAATGTGATTGGTTCATTTTTTTTTTTCTTGGTTGAGTTGTACAGTTTGTAGGTCACATTAATGATGGACATTTGTTTTACATTTTTTTATCTTGCTCTCATTTTTAATATCACACCCTGTCAGGGTTTGGCAGACTTTTTATATTCATGGTGTTATACTGTATATGGTACGTTTGTATATTCCACTCAGTCAAGTCACCCCTTCCTTTCACCAGGAAGCAAACCTACAGAGGGTGAAGAAAGGTGACCCCAAAGCCAGCATCCATCGCATGGAGATTGACCGCATCCGCTTTGTGCTGTGCAGCTACCTGCGCTCTCGCTTGCAGAAGGTCGAGCAGTTCATCAAATGTTTGTACACCTCGGTGTCGCTACATGCTATTTGACACCATGGCTTTGTGTGTATTTTTGGGTTTAGATTGAAAAGTTCTATCCGCATGTTCTTGAGAAGGAGAAGTCGCGCAGCAAAGGAGAACCGGCGCTGCTTTCACCTGAGGAGTTCGCCTTTGCTAAAGAGTGAGCAGAGCATAATACAGGACAGTGGAACCTACATCCACCCATTTACTATACGGCTTGTTGTCATTCGGGTTGCGGGTAAATTGGAGCCTCAAAGGTCCTCACCTTCAGAGTCAGCATGCCTGCTGGTCTAGTGGTTAGCACGTCTATTCCTGTGTGTAGTTTTGCATGTGTAGTAGGAAGCCAGAGTACCTGGAGAAACTCTCTAATGTCCTACTGTCACTCAAAAAATATGCATGTTAGGTTTATTGAAGACCGTAAATTGTCCATAGGATGGATCATTTAAAAGTCTTAAAAGGCATTGAATCCATCCATCCATTTTCCGTTCCGCTTTATCCTCACAAGGGTCGCAGGGGGTGCTGGAGCCTATCCCAGCTGTCTTCAGGCAGTCGCGGGGCACACTCTGAACCAGATGCCAGCCAATTGCAGGGCACACAGAGACGAACAACCTTCCATGCTCACACTCATACCTAGGGACAATTTAGAGTGTTTAATCAGCCTGCCATGCATGTTTTTGAAATGTGGGAGGAAACCGGAGTACCCGGAGAAAACCTACGCAGGCCCGGGGGAGAACATGCAAACTCCACACAGGAAGGCCACCGGCATTGAATCCATGAATCTAAAAACGAGTGCTTAATATATTAGGACAATCTATGCTAAATAAACTAACCAAATGCGATGCTCATAAAACACTTACCTGAAACTCGATATAAAGAAAACGTTCACAAACGCGACTACTCCAACTCATTACGGAGGCACGTACGAGACTGAGCCTCTCGTATACCCCATGTTAGTAGAGCAACTACTTCAAGATCCTGAAAATGACCTCAGAATTCCTTGCCAGTCCTGTCCACAGGACAGAAAGCAAAATTCACATGCAGTGCAGTGTTTATCCTGAAGATAGCGCCATACAGACAGTATTAGCCCAAATTCAAGAGTTCAACAAACAAGCACTAAAATGTGAAAATAACGACCAGGGGATGTTCACAGTATTACGAGACACTCGTTTATACAGTTTCTAAAGCAAAATAAAAGGTTGTGTTGGGGTTAGAATCCGTTTCAAGGCAGATGCACTTCATGTATGTACTGTAGTAACATTAGACACCATTGGGTAGAGAGAATATTGTGAAGCTGGTCTCGAATTTAAGTTGATATACAATTTAAAAGTCTTGAATCTAACTTGAGTGAAGTTGTAGGAACCCTGGTTAGGTATAGGTACGCTACTGTGCTTCTCAAAATCTGGTACAAGTATCATTGATGGTACACGGGCTTGCCGTACTCGCTTATGCTCCAGCATTCCTGTATTCCTCGACTTGATCATTTTGACTACCTTTCAGTTGTTACCACCTCAACCTGTCTCACTTCCTGGCAATAAAACCCTTGTGCGTTTTTTGTGTCTGCATCTCAGCACGGTTTGTGTTGGCCCTAGTATTCTGTTTTAGTTGTGCGCTAGCTTTTTACATGTGTGTATATTTTTGTTGGCCCTAATATTCTATTTTCAGTTGTACGCTTGCTGTTTACATATGTGTATGTTTGCATTGTCCAGGTATGCTGCAAACACAGAAAGCCACTTGAAGTCTGTGGCACTGAGCCACATGCCCCCCATCCTCCAGACACTTGACATGCTCAAAGCAGGTACGGTGTTCTAATCTTGTCTAGTTTTAGCACACATGGCCTGTAGACGCCTTTGAATACTGATTCTGTTCATTCTGATGGAAACTCAGTGCCAGCGCCATGCCTGGATTCCTTTGTTTTCCTGCGAGTGAAGGAGAGCCAAGAGAACATCTTAGTGGAGCCTGAAACCGACGATCAGAGGTACTTCACTCTTGTGAGGCTCTCTGAACATGATTGTTTTTAACACATAAGTAACATCACTGACATTTTCATCTCTTGTCTCAGAGAGTACGTTGTGGATCTTGAAGAGGGCTCTCAGCATCTCATGCGCTATCGAACCATCGCACCACTTATTTCGAGTGGAGCTGCACAGCTGATCTAAATGTCAAGGTAAGTAAGCCTCAAGTCCGCGCTGCCCCTCAAGCTCATGCACACTCTCTGATTTTTCTGCCCGTCTTATGTAAGCGGCTCCTTTGTATTGCCATCTTGATTATTTTTAGCTCTAAGATTTATTCCTGCATAGTTTCTTGGCAACAGTTTAAGAATATGTGTTGTAATTGGGGCAGCAGAGTGGACGAATTGCCACCACATCTGCCTCATAGTGCTGAGGTTCTGGATTCGAATCATTGAGCTTTCTGTGCTCAGTTTAAATGTTCTTTCTGGTTCCTCTGGCTCCCTCCTGCATTCCCAAAAACATGCATGATCGGTTAATTGAAGAATCAAAATTGTCCATGACTGTGAATGCGAGTGTGAACTTCACTCAATGATGAAATGCAGCTAATGCAGAGTGTACATTGTGTTGCAGGTTTGTGTTTCTGTTCTGGGCGCTTTGGCCTCCAACAGCTTGTAAAACAAGTAGCAGACAGTTTTACAGATCTGGATGCAACTCAGACCTTATGCTCCATGCGTGATTGGTGTCCCAATAGTAGGCCCGTAGCTTCAAAGGCAGGCACATCCGATCCACTTAATATTGATTCCTGTTACTATGTCCACATTTTGAAGTGGAGTGGACAATTTCTGTGCTGCATTAAAAGCCCACAAATGCAAGCTTACCATGGTAACTTAACCATTTTGTATTTTGACCGCTGGTTTGAATGGCGCCGTCTATTGCGTGTTCCCACATGATGTATGGGGGGGAGTACTGTGTTTAAAAAAAAAAAGAGTCCTGCCTAAATACGTGTCTCAGACATGATGGCAGTGGCCCAAAATATGGAATGTACTGCCGGAATTATTTTGTCTGGTGGTTAAGGCTTATTCATTTCATTAAATGAATTGTGAAGAAATACAAAGGGCATCTGTGCATTTCCTTTTGTGTCAAATCCTTCGTTGCCATGTGAACAGGCTCTACTCCCTTTTGCTGTAAATCTACCCTGGTATTTCATATGTTGCTTTGAGAAAAGGTTTTGCTTAATAGTGTCTCTTCATTTTTGTCCTCTAAACTGCCTGTTATTAATGTTACCATATCTTCTCTGAGACATAATTGTTCTAATCGTGCCGTTGTGTAATTTTCAGCGGGAGCAATCAGTTTTCATTGTGTGCACTCGCTCTAATTGCCAAATCATGATCCCTAACAAGGGATGAAGCACTGATTGAACTGAGCGCAAAGGCCTCATGTTTGTGATGAATCATTGCATTAATCCAGTGTGATCAAATTATTAATGATGCTAAATTTCGTTTTGCTCAGAGCTGCTTAAAAGCGTAAATGGTGGAAACTGGATTGTATAATGTGACCGTTAAAATGTATACATGAAAGATTATGACAATTTCAATGACTCTTCTCATGATCCCAATTAGATTTTAAGATCATATAACTTCCTTCTGCAATTAATTTGACAGCTCAAGTTGGTGGTAATGGAAATATTTATTTTTATCCAAACATCTCAGCATGCATCCGGTTTCAAGTGCACACTTTCACCCACTGACTGCAGCCAGTGCTGATGCGTTAAATGACAGTCATGCCGAGAGATGGCTTGTAATCTTCGGCGCCACACATGCCAACATAATCTGACACAAGGATCCCTTCAGGACACAAGCCAGCCAGCAGAGTGCTGCATTTTCCAGATGACCCGTGTTGACTCCTTTACCATGCTCACAACAACTCATCAGGGATAAGATCGATGCACTTGAACACTTTGTACTCATCAATGAGACGTTTAAGGTTGAGCATTTCACTTATGTGCTGTCAGTAATTGCTCTAATGGCCTAATGGTGAACTGTTTGGGCATTTATTCCTTGTCCTCAAGGCCCATGTGCAAATACAAGCTTTATCCACATTAGTAGGTCGACTTTGGCCTACTAGCAGGATGACAATATGTTAATAGTGAGGCACAAGTTGACATCTGTCTGCAACCATGTGTGCTGTCGCTTTTCTATTAGTGCACTGAATTGACTTATTAGTGAGGACAAATGGGCCTTAAACTGTATATCTTGACACTCAAATACGGAATTCAGTCACAGACAAAGGTCACACATTCCTCACTTGACTGTCATGCATCAATGGCAGTTAGTTCTATATTGTTAGAAGAGCAACCCCCCTCAAAAAAAAAAACCTGGTCAATAGAAGAGAGGGGGCGGAGTAGTACAGGGTAGCTGGGTGAGTATAAATGGAACATCACACAAGAGTCCTCTGTGGGTGAAGGGAGCCCAAAGACTTTCGCAGGAGTGCTGGCTGCCCACCATTTTGTAAGTAAGATGGGATGTTGTAAACTTTTTATGTTTACTGACACACTCACATTTTCGTCTTATTCAAGACTTCTGTGCACCACGCCAGCAGCATGGAGACCTCCAGCACAACGTAAGAACTTAATAGAGTTGATGTGCATGCACTCTTGGCACGAGCAAATGGAAATGTAATTAATTTGGGGTGTTCTCTCATCTAAATACATCTATGTAAAAGAAATATCCATGAAAGTTGTAGTCATGATGCCACTTTGATGTATTTCAAGTTTCCTGCCCATAATTGGCCTTGGCTCAATGGCTCAGTCAGCTGGACTTGTGGAGATTGCCGTCAGGCTGTGTCTGAACCAACGTAAGCAATTGTGTCCTCATGTTTGGGTGCCCATCTTGAAACCCCTGCGGCCTTGCATCCGCTCCACGTTTCCAAAGGCCACATCAGCTGACATCCTACGCCAAGTCGGTCCAACCCAGACGCTCGCAGGTTGCTTTGAGGACTTGGATGATGACAATGATGTTTTGGCCCCGGTCAAGAACAAGCATGTGGTTTTCGCTGACTCCAAGGGCCAATCGTTGACAGATGTGCGAATCTTTTCTGACGAGGAGGACCACTCCGACCTCGATCCTCTGCCGTCCCTCCAGGGTTTGGTTAAGATGACTGAGCCTGGTTACAGCTGCACGGTCAGCACCTGCTGTCCAGGTACACGGCTCACGCTCGGTTTCCCGCAGCCCTCCGCTAATTTCCAGGCCTTTCGTGCAAAGCTTGCTGAGAACATGGTCACCCTGGAGAACTGCACGGTCACTGGGCAAAACCTCAGAGGCATCGCCCGAGTCCAAAACCTCAGCTTCCAAAAAGATGTGCGTGTGCGTATCACCTTTGACTCATGGCAGAGCTACAGAGATGTGCCCTGCACGCACCTGCAGCAGCGCTTTGGAGGGCCGCAAACAGACATCTTTCAGTTTGACATAGATATACCCAAAGTGCTTGATGCAAAGAGGAAGATAGAATTCTGCTTAAGTTATTCACCAAGAGGGCAGGCTAATACTTTTTGGGACAACAACAATGGACAGAACTATGCAATTAAGGTGTGTGTGAGCTCACATCTTTGTCACAATTAGAGAAGTCAAACAACATGACATCAAGCTCAACTTTAATGTAAATTAACTTTTTTACTTAGACTTACGAGGTTCTTTTATTTATTGTGTGTTGTGTTTTCCTCTGACTTTTTGTGTATTAATTAAAAAACACGTTGTTGTATAGTTGTTCATTTTCATTGAAAACCAGTCTTATTTGTGTGAGTCAACACGACAGTCTTTTACTTTTGGTCCATTCATCACTACTCCATTCATCACTGTTATAACAGAGGGTGGGTGATCCCTTTCACTTTGGACATATCTAGGATTCCCAACAGGTCACAGATACCTCGTCAGGGCCAAATCCAAGCCCCTGAGCAGGATACAAGCTAATCTTAGCTCAGGCCTGGTCGGATAAACTATCTGACAGATAGCAGGAGGCTTTGCGCACCCATTGTCCTTATCACATCTGTAACTAGAGAGTGTTTGTGGACTGAAGTCTCGTCTAATGTGTAAAACACACATTTTCAAACACATGACGAATCAGACAAATGAAGGACTCACATAAGTAAATCAAATACTGTCTTAAGTCACACATAACAATTAAAACAGGCATGTGCAGTATGTTTTTAGGGCGACATTACTTTAAGCTCGTGTTCATCAATGTGAAAGCAAACCGAAAGCAAGTGCAAGTTAGTGTATAAGACAATTCACCTGGCCACCAAATAGAATCTAACCTTCAAGAGGTGGTGCAACATGAGTAGAGGAGAGTGAAGTGATAGGGGACGGTCAAAACAGGGCAGCCAATGTTGTCAAAGCGCCCGTTGCTATGCCAAATGACAATTGTGGCTATTTATTCCAACCATCCATTTTCTGTAGTGCTAGTTCTCATTAGGGAAATGGATGAGCTAGAGCCAATTCGAGCTAGCTGCACATATACTGTACTGCAGACAACCTTTCACATGCACAGTCACACCTATGGACAATTCAGAGTTTTCAGCAAACCTAACATGAATATTTGGGGAGCGTGGGAGGAAGCTGGAGAACCTGGAAAAATTGACATGAGCACTGGGAAACATGCTAACTCCACATAGGAAGGTCATGGCTAACATTCAAACTCCAAAGGCCAGAACTATGATGCAGATGTGAAACTAGAGGGCCATTTTGCCACCATAGTATTTATTGTTTTTCTTTCTTTTCAAATTTAGAATCCCTAAAAATTTGACTGCTGTGTGACTGCAACCAATATGACACCAGCTAAAAAAAAAATAAAATAAAACTAAAACACCATCAAGAAACCAGGGATCATGGATAGCTTTGTTTAGTCTGGTGAATGTCAATAAAATGTTCCGTTTCTAGCTGCCCATGAGATTGACTTCAATTGGAAACACCTACTCTAGACTAGGAGGGAGAGAGAAGCGAAAACAGCATGCACATCCGCGGGAAGCGGGTGTTTTCCTCTGGCCTTTGGCCAACACGCGACGAGCTTCATGTCTTCCAGCCTGAGACGCTCGGCTGTCCCCCGGCCCGTCCTAAATCATCATGTGGCTCAGCGGCCTACGCTGATGTTGCACACTTTGCAGCTGGGATCTTTCTTGGCATTGGCCGTGGTCAAACTCATGAGCTGGTGGTGACCACTGATTAGCTCCACGGTACCTTGATCCAAACTGACCGGCTCTGTGAAAAGCACCTCAAGGATGACATCGCTGGCATGGCAGTAGTGCGGCTCCTCCCCCGGCCTCTGGGGGGCGGTGTATGTTAAGAAGGGGTTGCTGGCCAAGTCCAGCATGGGGAGGCGGCTTCTGCAGAAATGGTCTCCTTCTGTTCCCACAGGGGCAAGCACCAAAACCACATAGTGGTAGGCTGTGTACATGCAGTAGAAGTCAGCAAAGTACAGGGAGATGTCAGGGTTGAGCAGGTGTCCAGCTGGGATTTGGAAGCGCAGGGGGCCGTAGGGAGAGTCTTTGGGGGGGAGTCCTGTATCGAACTCAGTGTTGCAGCTAAAGAAGACTCCCTGCAGTTTGCCATTTATAGGAGAACCATGACTCCCACTTGTGTCTTTAAGGGCAGGATGCATCAGACCTGCAAATTCCTTTCTAATCCAATCATCCAGAGGAGAAAGCGCCATTATTTCCATTATTATATTTCCATTATTATATTTCCACTTAGTAGTCATTCATTCTCGTGCCATTTTAATGCTCCACTTACCTGACGCAGTCAAAGTAATCAGGATGCTGATTGCGATAAAACACAGCGAATTTCAAAAGCCTTCCCGCAGAGCCTTTGGCCTTGTCGAGAAGCTGCTGAAGGTGTTCTATGGCGTAGTCTGCCAAGTTAAAAGGAGCACTATAATCATTTCAAAAGTCTGCTCTGCTTTCAAATGCTAATGACCCTACATACAAAGAGATGGTTTTTTTTGCCACTTTCTTTTTGTCTACGCTTACGTAACAATTTATGGGATACATTAGCATCACTTTGGCTGTCAGGCGCCTCACCTCCTGTGCAGAACTCCACCACTTGGCTCCACTCTGACACCAAGTATTCACCATCAGGCTGTCGAACCGCAGTCTGCACGGCGACACAATATTCTGTGCAGGGGCTGAGGAACCAGTGGCCCCTCACCGCCATGGGCAGGGGCACAGCCTTCGCCACTAGTTTGGTTGGCACATCCTGGAGGTCAGAGCAGAAACATTGCTGCATGCTGTTTCATTCATTAACATTTCAAAGGAAATTTTAATGGCTATGTAAATTAAGTCTTTCCCTCAATAGGATTTGCATTAATATCACAATCTTCCTTTCAAGCCCAAGCGGCTGTAACTTGGAAACGCTTAATCGAACCAGTGTGCTTTGTTTTGGCCAAGGTGTGTAAGAAGTGCCACTAAATACTCATGAGGCCAGCATAGCCATGGCAAACATGGATGATAATGTAATTTTCTTTTGCTCTTTTATCGATGTTCAAGAAACAGTTTTCAATCCGTTTGTACTATTGAAAAAACTTTTTTAAACTACAAATTGCGAGTCACTCTGAAATTGTGTGTTATCTGAAATGTCAATAAAAGAAGGAAATAGAATACCACAGTGGCTTGAAGAAGTATTTTAGCCCCTTCAAATTTTCACATTTTGTATTTTCACAACAACAAATGTTTTGGATTGAGATTTTATGTGATTGACCAACACAAAGTAGGGCATCATTTTAAAGTGAAACAGAAATGATACGTTGTTTTCCAAATTTTATGCAAATGAAAGTCTGAAAAAGGTGGGGTGCATTTTGGATTCAGTCCTCCCTGTGTCAATACTTCGTAGGGTGACCTTGCGCTGCAGTTACAAAAGCAAATCATTTGCAGGATGTCTCTACTGGCTTGGCACATCTAGACATTGACATTTTTGCCCATTCTTGCCTCACATTTGGCACAGATGCTCAAAACCATTCTATTGTAGCTTTATGGTTTGGAACATCACTTACTTTGTACTAGGCCACGCCCCTTAAAGGCAGATATCCAAAACAACAATGCTACATTTTTAAAAACAATTGTGTGTGTATTTTTTTTTTTTTTTTTGGGGCGGGGGCGCCTGAACAGCTAAATGACATTCAGATCAATTACAATGGAGAAGATTGATGTGATATCCAATTCAGGGTAGCACTGTATTTTGGTGTCAGTTGATGTTTGGACCAAGAAAAACAATAGTATATGTTTCCCAAACAAAACTTTCATTGGAGAGAAATGGGAATGCTATTAGCATTTTCACCCCTGCCAAATAATATGTTCTGTGATTTCATATTTGTATAAGGCTTAGCCAAAATTCACAATTCAAAGACTTGAGCGACATTTTCGTACAGTCTGTGCGCATGGGTGGAGTTTTCTTTCTTTTGGTATTTTCGTAGACGGGTGCAGGTAGAAATGGACATTTGCGGCATTGTGGGACTGAACATAGCCGACTTGATTCCCAGTCAATCCTTTATTCCGTTAAATTCAGCGGAGAAGAGGCGCTGGAGTCCATGCAGGAGATCGGGGCACGTAAAGTATGTTTGAAAGAAACTGCAAGATCTCCACTTGCGGATGATGTACAGTTGGCAGCTGCCAACTGAGGTTTTGGCGACCGCCTTAAATTGCCATAATGCGTCTGTGTTTGGCAACTTGACTAAAGTCCAGTCTACATTCTGACACCAAATTGTCAGGTGTGCCGGGAATGTGTGACATAAAATGTCCTTGGTTCGAGGTGTGGCACAGTCCACCAAATTCTCAAACACTGTAAATTTGATTTGCCCTAGCACGAAAATGAAGATGTGCCAGTTTTTACGCTGAGCGCACTTGCGCCTGTCTATGTAAGCAGCGCACCTGGTGTGTTGCTGACTTAATGTTGGAATCTAAATTTGATGTGCATTAGCAGTGGTTACCACAATAACTGGTCTGTGCTTCATGTGTGGTAAAAACACAAGTACAAGTGAGTCACAGGCCCAGAGCTGTTGACTGGACTCATTTTTCCTTTCGCTTCAATTGGAACAGACTGAAAGGGCACATCCGCTGCTTTCTGTGCTCAGATTAGTCTAGAAAGAATGTCCGTTCACCTTACCAGACATTTGTGAATCGGCTTTTGACTATTTAAGCCTTCTGTTGTCATGCCAAATGAATTATATGAAGACAAACAATTTCATCCAGGTAATAGACAGAGCCACAGGCCGTTTGGGGTCGTCTCACCCTGTGTTTAAAGCGGTTGGGATCCCTGCATTCTTTGCGGCTCAGGTCAATGAAGAAGTGTGTGGCTCTGGCTGTGTCCTCGGGAGTCATGTCCCACACGATGCGAAACGAATCACATGTCACCTCACATATTTGAATGTTGCAAGGGGTAGCGAGAGGGGTGTCCATTTCTGTCAGGGGATAAAACAGGACATTTGAAAGAAATAGGACGGCATATCATTTTTGAAAGCCCTTTCATTAAAATCACTGTCACATATTCGCAAAGAATAATCTCTTGAGCCTTGTGAATATTTAAGTGTGTAAATATGGCTGCTCTACATCCAAAGTAGATAGATGCAAATAAATACAGTTCAGTGTGTGTGTGTGTGTGTGTGTGGGGGGGGGGGGGTTATGCATCAGGGAATTTTAAACACAGTTTGGAACCTTATCCATCATCTAATTGGTTATGCACTTCATGTTTTACTAAACATTTGGACAAACACACATTTGTATGAATTTATTTTCTTCCTTACCTCATTGATACAGTACATGCTTCTTCTATTTGCAATACCACAATTAGCCTATAAATATTTTAAAAATAGGATTTACCACATCTGCATTTCATATCAATGGCAAGTTATAATATTATGCTCTTTCTGTCAATTTAATATCTTATACGACAAAGTACACATATTGAAATACTTGGAAAGTATCACACACAATGCTTTGAAAGTTTAGTAAGGTTTCCACATTTGTAAATGGTTATTTGTAGATGATTTATTATTTTGAAGTGTATTGTAGTTGATTTGATAGCAATGGTTGTGTGTTACATGCTGCTGTCTTTTGCGCAGGCGGTGCGGTTTCGATTCACCGCCAGTGCCCCAACACCCTGCATGTGCCAATCTTGGATTAAAGAAACTGGATGTGTTGCTTCAGGAAGGAAATATGCCATGCCGGACATATTACGTGAGTGTCACACTGTGGCGATCCGTAATGGTACAAGCCAAAAGTAATAACAACAAAATTGCAATCGACCTTATTATTGGTGGTACCGCCATATAGTGAAGCATATGTCTTCCATTTTAAGTTTGGTGTAAGATACCAAATATTATTTTATTTTATTTATTTTTTTGTTCCATGAGGAACTTCATGAAAATGTCAAACTGAAATATGGAGCTGCATGCTAACAAGATGGAAATACGACAGCAGTGAAAAGGAACTACAAAGTCAACACTGTGGTCATTATTTCTTGAAGCCGAGACAAATTAAACTTTCATCCATGGATCAGCTTTCATTTTGTCCTTCGCTGCCTTTCCCCCTCTATTTGCTGGCCTTAACTGACATTTCTCATCGTTATGCAACATGAGACGCTTCCAGATGACACGCCTTTTATAATCACCTCCATCAGTCTCCCAGCAACTACATGTCAGCAGCATCTCTCCATCTCCTCAATTCTAAAACAAATAATTTTTATTTATTTATTTATTTTATATGTTTGTAACTGCTGAGTCTTCTGTTTACAATGACAGCTCGTCTTTTATTCATCTGGCAGGACAGGACAAAGGGGAGATTTAGGTAGTGACTGTGGAAGGTGATGAATCACTCCTTGGTCACACATCAGCCATTTCACTGCTGCACAAAGCCTTCAGTAGCAGCCCAGGGTCAGACACTTTTTGATGTGTGTTTGATTTGCTATCCGCCTCATTTATCTGCAGCGCAGCACATTGCATGTTTCCTTTAGTCCGACCAATCCGTCCCTCTTGAACTGAGCATTATGCATACTGTATGTGTGCTTAAAATAAATGATATAGTCGTTTAGGAAGCAACCCTAACACGCTCATGATGTTGCATTACACATGGACAAAGATGCTTTCACTGGCAGACTGTGAGGTCTGCAGAGGTGTTGTCCAGGCCTTACATGATGGACAGGCTGCAGCTTCTCATTAAAGCTTGTGAACTGTGAAATGTGTGCGTTAGCCCATCCTTCGCTGAAGCCTGAGGAAAAAGACAATTGCTCATGTTTCACCGCTGTTTATATGCCCTTCATCTCCCAAGTTTCTTCAGGAACAGAAAGTGGGCCAACAATAGATTCTCACAGGGCACTCATCAAAGCTCGCTGTCTTTGAATGTTCTACTTAAAAATCCATCCAGTGCATGTGAGCACAGTTCAAATTCAGGTTTCCAAATCACTCACACATCCCTGTTGCCCTCATTTGTGCATCAGTTTGTGAAAAAAAAGAGCCAATTTTCTCAGCTGCAACGCTAACTGTAATAGCCGGCTGCTCCAAATGAGGCAATTTGGGTCTGCCTGATGGATCTGACAGAAAAACACCTCATTAGTTTAATTATTTGTGTGTGCTCCACACTCAGATTAATTCTAACACACGCACGCCAGCAGATAAAGCACAGTAAGCAGAGATCAAAGTATTTTCTTTTGTGTCCATTAAATATAGAGACAAATAATTGCTTGTTCCGTCTACTGTAGATTACATTTGGACTACTTGTTTAATGTCCCAGCGAATGTATGCATGTTTAGAATGCATGATGCTTGGGATTTGGAATTTGAATCTCACCCTTGCAATGATGCTCAGTCTCCAATATATCTGGTGAAGTTTGATTTGCAAGTAGGAGAGTGTAATCAGCATCGCATTCTGTATAATGACAAAATATTCCGTGGGAACAAAGTCCAAAAGGGGCAGATTGTCAGTGTACCCAACTAATGCAAGCATTAATGAGAATAATATGAGGATAAATGGACAGGCAAATACTCATGAGAAAGGCTTGAAAGGTAACAAATGCCGAAAAATATGCATGGACACTACACGGCTGAGAATAATGACAACAATTGTATAACATCTCACTCAACAGGGAACAGATATCACAGCACTAAATATGATGGAAACTGTGTTCCTTTCTACAATCTCAAGCTTGATCGTATAATAGAAAACAAATCCTTACTTGTTTGTTGTTAAAGGTGTGATTGAAGATTTTAGGTCTGATTTTTCTTTTCCCGCTTCTGAGTCTCCTTATTTGCTGCAGTCACCAATAGATCCCCCTGCAAAACTGATTAGGAGGTGAAACGAACATACTGGATCCTCTCTCACTCTGTCTCTTTCTCCCCTGCTCTCCGTCTGTTTCTCTCATCCATGTGTGTGTGTGTGTGTGTGTGTGTGTGTGTGTGTGTGTGTGTGTGTGTGTGTGTGTGTGTGTGTGTGTGTGTGCCACACAAACACTCTCACCCTTCGCCCCTCCACCCCACCCCAGTCTCATTTTTGCTGTGGGCTTTGAGCGTGATGTTTATTTGACTCTTACGCAGCTGCACGGCACATGATGCATTCAGAGCTAAATGAGGTGAGGCGAAAAGAGAATTGTCAAACACGACAAGCTCATCAGCATGTTCGCAACACAGCATCACTCCTCCAAAGTGTTGCACTGTGGCGCTCTGATAGAGAGTTCACCGAACTCTGCTACACTGATAAATGTCGCCGCACACATTTTAGTGACATATGGATACAGAGGTTGTGATCAAACAAACAAAACGTAAAACAAGACATTGAAGTCGGAGAATATTCAAACCATAGTGCATGTGATGAGATGCCCTAGTAACTAAACAGCACTTGTGCCAACTGCAATGCCATATGGATTTACTCCACAGAGTATAATCCCCCTCCCCGCAACCTACCCTCATAGCCCATCCTCTGGCAAATGATGCCACAATGTGAGCCCAGAGTAAGCAGATTTGCACTGGCGTTAGTCGCAAAGTGGGATGTTTTGCATTGCTTCCTTGGGTCAACATTTAGGATTTCACCAGAGATTAAAAAAGCGATGTCAAGAGACGCTCTGCTCAGATTAATGGCTGTAATCTCTTTTTAAACAATGGGAATGGATTTAGCACAAACATGACAATAAAAGAGGTATTGACAAACTTCTATCTGCTATCTTCACAAACAAATAACATAAAAACGAACTGTATGAATACACTTATATGTACAGTTTAGATCCAAGGCAGAGAGAAAATTCATGTCTACACTCGCCACACTTCATTAGGTACACCTAAAAAGAGCCAATTGAATTTAACTTCATTTGAAGTAGCCTATTTCATATAAAGCTTGACAATTTCAGACAACAATTCAGTTGTCAATAAGATTATTATTGTGCTTATTGTACGTACTCGTGCAACATTTCCAGATGTAAGCGTTAATTGGGTCGATTATTTAATTAATTAATGGTGACTCGAGTGATCTTTTTTGCTCTTCCTCGAGAGCCACTGTCTTGCCTGTTTTCCATTTCTCCCTGCTGCATTCTCACCTGATTCAAATGATCGAATAAATAACGATCCTGATCATGTTTTGTGCATGCAAACACTTTGTTTTTTTTCTTCTTTCTACCCCCAATTTTGCTGTTGTAGACTGTAAATTTCCCCAGTGTGGGACAATAAAGGATATCTTAATTTGGCATAAAACATCCAGGAAACCCTCGAGGAACAAGAATGAAGACCCCTGTTCTAGCCAGACAAACGTGTGATTAATGAGGTTAAACTACCCACAACAATCCAATTAAAAACACTAACTTGTACAAATGCTGGTAAATTCTGTGAATGGTGAATTCAGTTTGTCGGATTTTGCCCCAAAATAAGATGAGCAGTATGAAATTTGCCCTGATTTGAGAAAAAGTACCGGTACGTAAGTGAGACTGCTGGGATAGGCTCCAGCACTTCCGCATCTCTCATGATGATAAACTGCTCAGATAATATATATATATAAGATAATTACAGTGGCAGTCGCCGAATAACGAGGGGAGAGAGACGGAGAGAGAGAGAGAGAGAGAGGGGGAGAGAGAGGGAGAGGGGGTGGCGGCCGGTGGTCCAGTGGTTAGCACGTCGACCTCATAGTGCAGAGGTACTGGGTTCAATTCCAGCTCCAGCCTCCCTGTGTAGAGTTTCCATGTTCTCCCTGGGCCTGCGTGGGTTTTCTCCGGGTACTCTGGTTTCCTCCCACATTCCAAAAACACACATGGCAGGTTAATGGAACTCTCACAATTGTCCCTAGGTGTGAGTGTGAGCACTTATGGTTGTTTGTCTCTGTGTGCCCTGCGATTCGCTGGCAACCGGTTCAGGGTGTTCCCTGATAGGCTCCAGCACCCCCAAGCCTTGTGAGGACGAGCGGATCTGAAAATGGATGGATAGATGGATGGATGGATGGAGAGAGAGAGAGAGAGAGAGAGACAGAGACAGAGAGAGAGAGACCTTTTTTCGGTGTTCTTGGAGGTATTTGCAACGTAAAATGTGTGACCTAGATAAACATTGCTTTAAAAATGCTGATATGGGATCATTCAGGAATGAGTTATGCGTCGGTTTGCGCAGCGGTAAACCGCCTCAACTTCGGCTGATGACACCCGGAAGTCACATGGGGACGGCGTGTGAGTAAGCAGCATTGAAGCAAGTCTGTATGTCGTGACGTTTCTCCCAAATGAGTTATTGTCGTCTCGGGGTAAATACGCTCCATTAACGTAAGTTTCTGTACGTGTGTCTGTGTATGTCAAAAGACAAGCTTAACAATAAGACATTTCTTGTCGCCGGTGTTTGCCGGTCGTGTATGTCGGCCACGTGTGTGGATACATTCTCAATGTGTACTGTGTAGTTCCCGCATGAGTTCATGTTAACCACGACTTGTCACTGAAGGCTGTTTCTTTTGTTGTTTGTTTTCGAAATATGCGTTATATGTTTGCTCTACAATATATGTTAAATGCAAAACAGTGGTAATTGGGTTATTTTACTTTTAAGTTAAATTTGGACACTTGTTTTTCAGATACAGTACTGTACAAATGTCTGCCCACAAACCTGACATTTTTGCCAAAACTGATTCATTATTGGAAAGTGAACATTATTGTTGTTGTAAAGCCAGAATATTTTATGGATCTATTGTTCTGTATTAGGGCGTACTACAATTTCACAGTGCCACAGTAAACTTTTTTTTCTTTAAGAAATAGTTCATAGTGAAGAGTGGACGACTGATTAGCACGTCCGCCTCACAGTGCAGAGGTCCAGGGTTCGATTCCTGCTCAGGCCTTCCTGTGTGGAGTTTGTATGTTCTCCCCATGCCTGCGTGGGTTTTCTTTGGTTTCCTCCCACACTCCAAAAGCATGCATGGCAGGTTAATGGAAGACTCTAAATTGTCCCTCGTGTGAGCGCGGATGGTTGTTAGTCTCTGTCTGGGATAGGCTCCAGGACCCCTCACATCTCTTGTGAGGATAAAGCGAATCAGAAAATGGATGAATTTATGTACTGTATTATTTTTTGGTACTTGGGTGGAAATGTTGTGGCTTGCAGGTGGCGTCACCTAATTTCTATCACGTTATTTTTTACTTTTTAATTGTCTGTTAAGGATGGCCGATTCAGGCACAGGTGATCCCAGTGGTCATCGCATGCCACCACCTGGAGGAATCGGGAGGAGCCAGCTCATGGGCCGCCGACCACCTGCTGCCATCTCTGGGGGCCGCCTTCCTACGATGCGTTCTAGAGATCTCACCCTCGGGGGAGTGAAAAAGGTATCTGTTCCCCAAAATATTTGACTGAAAGGGTCTCTTTTCCTCCCCTTTCCATAATATCTTATTTTTCTTTGCATCTAGAAAACATTCACACCAAACATTATTGGCCGGAAAGTTAGAGAAGAGTAAGTTCACTATAAGATTACAGGGGTGGGAGGAAATATGTAAAAGCCCTTCTGATTAATCTTGACTGTGATTTATGTTTGAAAGTGTCAAGGATGAAGGTGTGCAAAAGAGAGAGCGGATGAATGCGACCCGAGGCAGAGGTCCTAGAGAGAGAGGCAGGGGCCGTGGTCGCCCAGAGATGATCCAGTCCCACTCTATTTTTGAACAGGGTCCAGGAGAAATATCAATCAGAAAAAAAGGTTGGCATTTACAGTAGCATGTGTAACTACCATGTTTTGGGTTTGGATGATATCGTATGATTAACTAACTTCCCTGTTTATTTAAATATGCAATAGCTTATGAAAGTGAACGAGATGCCCCGAGCGTAGGACCATCCCCCATCATCAATATCAAAAAAGAGAAGAGAGAAACTGAGGAAGAGACCAAAGAAATCCTTCGCAAGCTGGAACAAGATGGCGTATGTATCGTTTAATACCTATATGCACTATTTTATACTTTTACTGATTGATTCTTCCATTTCCCCCCTCCATGTTTTTCAGTTTATAGATGATCCATTCCTGAGGGGTGAAAAGAGGAGCTGCCCGGTCCAACTTCCTCTTGCTGTGTCAGGATGGGGTTTCAAGGAGGAATTCAGTGCTCCTACTATTAAAATTGAGAAGATGGATGAGGATGATCCCATGGAACCTGCAGTGGAAAGTACTTACTCGCTTTTGCAGTTCACATTCTCATTTTGATGATCTCACGGGTTAACAGTAAGAAGTACATGTGTGAACTCCCTTCACAACTTCAAACCATTAAAGATTAAGTAACTGCTGAGAGAAACAAAATTCTGTAAATGGCAGATAGGCCCTCCCCCCCAAAATCTATTTCTGGAATTGTAGATATGTCTTTTTTATATAACTTTTTTTCATCTTTCACTTTTATATCCTAATTAAAACAAGATAATTATACCAGGGCTACACAATGCCATGTTATTAAAATTATACTATTTTACTATGTGATACAAAAATACATTCAATACATATTTAATACAATGAAGTTGCATGGCCCGTTCAAATAATTGCCCACCTTTGACTTGCTGTATGGGACCCTGTGATCAGCTCGCTAGTCTAGCACACTTGTCTCAGGCAGCGGTCCAGTGCCCAATTGTTTTTTTTTTTTTTTGTTTTGTTTTGTTTTAACTGAAATAATAGACATCTTACTAAAATTACAAAAAAATGTACATGTAAAAAATTAAAACAAAACTAAAATGCTTTAAACGAACTCCATTGCACTTATGAGGGGGAAAGAAAGTTTTTCATTGAGATTTAAAAACATTTGTCATTGAGGCTGACTTCACTGAGGTTAGAGTTGTATTCCATTTGTGTGCAGCGTAATGGATAAATGCTGCTTCACCATGTTTGGTTTGAACTGAGGGCACCACTATCTGACCTGAGTCTGCAGACCTGTCAAGCAATAAGGAGACCTCTGTCTCTCGTTAGCTTGTGTTTTTAACTCATTCACTCCCAAAGACAGTCTTTTCAGACTTCACACATTCAATCCCATGTACTTCGGTTTTCTTTTTTCCTTGCTTTTTTTCCAAGACTGAAAGTCAATTTTTTTTTAAACGGGTCTGAAATGGCTGGTACTGAATGAGTTTTAAAGGACTTTTTTTTTAAACGGGTCTGAAAATGGCTGGTACTGAATTAGTTAATTCACCACTCAGCAAAGTAAGAACACAGATACAGTATCCCTAATTCCTTTGACAGCTGTTTCTCTCACTTCATTAACAAAATCTTTGAAGTTCCTCTTTGTTTCCACAAGGGGGTGAACATTTCCCATAAAAATGCCAGTACTTTACATGTCTTGATACCAATAGAAAAAAAATGTCATAGCATTTTTCAGGCGCGCACATTTTCTACATCTTCATAACTGTCACTGGGCGGTGGGGTAAATGCATTTACAATTCTCCAGAAGACCAAATTCACTAAAATACATAGTAGGTAGGCTTCCAATACTGTTATATACAGGAGAATTTGTGAATTCAAATTCATAAGTTCCAATTAGAAACCCATGAGAAGTGAGGGTCTGCAGTGTTTGAACATCAATATAGTGTGGGATTTCTGTATGTTTTACAAAATATTATACTAGTCGTTTGTGCTCACTCACTCGCGCCACTGAATATTAAACATCTCAAAGTTCCTTGCTCATGTTTTTTTTTTTTTAATACTCTCATGCTGTTAGAAAGGTGTGAAAAGGCAATCCTTTTTAATTTCAGTGAAGGAAGAGCACAAGGAAATAGCAATAAAGAAGACTGAGGCTGCCTTTAAGCCTCCTCCACTCCCTGAGCCGGATGTTTTGCCGGATCTTCTTCACAAGTGGAGTCTGAGCAAAGGTGAGGAGCTGTTCTTCATGCAACTGCCCGACACGCTGCCTGGCCAGCCGCCTACCAAGGAGTACAAGCCAATAAAAACTGAGGTGAAATCTGAGGACGGTCAATCTGTCCTCCTGAAAACGGAGTCTCAGGTAGCTAAATGTCATGACTAAATAGTAATAAAATTATGACATTTATGTGTAAGTATGCTTTGCATATTTAATAGGAGGAGCAAAATGAAGATAACAGCTGTAATTTGAAAGATCTGCGAGAGGGTCTTGTTGGAAAAATGCTGGTGCGAAAGTCCGGTCGGGTGCAGCTCATAATGGGACAGATCACGCTGGATGTGTCGCTTGGAGCATCATGCTCTTTCCTTCAGGTATGACAGGAGATAAATCATTCAGGTTGATCACTTTCTGTCTGTCTTCATTACATGCTACATAAACGACACTAAACTCCATTTTTTTAAAATTATAAAACTACTGAATGAGAACTCCACACCACGTGTCTGTCTTTTTAATTTGTTTCAGGAACTGGTTTCTGTTGACACTGAGGCACGAACAGGTGACATGACTGTGTTAGGAAATGTCAAACACAAAATGGTTTGCTCACCAGATTTTGAATCTCTGCTGGAAAGCAGGTGATGATCGTTGATACTCTTCATGGTGGTCATTTGCTCTGTTGTGTCATATGAAAGTGTGCTAACACTAAACTGTAAAACTTGAAACAAGACCAAAACGTTTTTGATTGAAAAATTCAGTGATTTGCCATATTTCGAATCTTCAATAATTTGACTGTACATGGGTGTAAATGTGTGAATAAAATAATTTCTATTAAATGATGTTTGATGTATTTTTTTTTTTACCCGATTGGCAAAAATCATGTTTTCACATCTTACTCTTAGTACGAAAGGCTCTTTAATAATAGTAGTTAATAAAAACATCAAAGCATACTGCGGGCGTATACTCCACATATTGCAATTTCACTTCAAGGAAATTCAAATGTTTTTGAAACAGTGCATGAGAGCATACCAATGGGTCAAAAAGGTGAATAATGAAATCAGGTTAAATATATAATCCATCCATTATCTGAGGCAATTATCTTCTGGAGCTTATTTCAACCGGTAACCTCGGCCAGTTGATGGCGTACGCCCTGACATGGTTGCCAGCCAGTCGCAGGGCATTCATAGTCAACAATTCACACTTACTCTAAGGGACAGTATAAAGCGTTCAGATTAGTTGCCATGCATGAAACCAGAATACACGGAGAAAACCCACGCAAGGCATGAGGAAAGCATGCAAACTCCACACAGAGGGGCTGAAGCCCAGATTCAAACCCATAACCTTTTCCAAGAAGCATTTTTTAAAATTATTACTCGCAGATATGTCCTATGTTTTATAAGTTTCATCAGTCAGCACTTTATTGGTTTAGGTTGATAAAGTCCTGATCCGAATATGTTGACATGGCAACAACATCAGAACATCCACACGCTGTTCTATTAGCCGTAATGTAATGTAACGTAGTACCCCTTTTAAGCATGTGGTGTCGCTGTAGAGATGTCCATGTCCTGGGCTGGCTGTGTGAATGCAGACAGCTTGGCTCCGACTAGTGGCCTGTAGTCTGTTCACGTTGTACGCCGGGTGGAGTTTGATTTCAGTCTGCTGGACAGAGACAAATGATGCACCGGTGTCACGCCAGAAGGTGGGTCTATCATCCATTATTTCATCCTTAACATGCGTTTTGATAGTTACTGGGTTCACTCCACATAAACATAGTCAGACAATCCACGCTGACAACAAAAGCTTGGCTCAGCAGTTCATTCTCAGTCGTGGCCGATAGCAAAAGCTAACCAACCCAAAGAGCAATAGCACGCCTGGGATCAGATCCAGTATAACATACGGCTCGTTAAAACAGACTTTGGTCCATGTTGCTGATGGCGTAGTGGGCTCCTTAGACTGCCGAGCATCATATGATTGCAATGAGGAACATTAATTACGTTGGTACGTGGTAGAACTGGTGGTGTAAAATGTTAGCTGAGTGCCTGTTAGTGAAGAAGCTAACCGTGGCCGAGCTTATGTCATTAGCCGTCTCGCTGAATCATCAGTAGAGAAGAAGCAGGCCGGCACGCCAGTAACATGTCAAATCTAGTTCCAATTAAGGTTTTTTGCAACACCAAATACGTAATGACTCAACCATGGTTAATGGTTAAACCTCGACCGGTACGAACAAACACATCGACGATGTCAAGTTGAACAAACATTCACATGAGTATTTTGAGACATGATCTTGATCAACTTTTTATTCTTTCCAGGCCAACCTCCCACTGAGGAGCAGAGCGGATCTTCACCGCTGTCGAGCTACCTGCTGAGTCCACCTGTTTTTTGTTTACATCTCCCTAATGTGACACGTGCTATAACCACAGGGACATCTGGATATTACGTACAGTTAAAAAGACTGATGGACCTGTTTCTACTTTAATATTGCCCATGATGGCAGCGTTAAGATGATCCTCCACTCTCTGTGCAGTGAGAGGAAGATCCATCCCCAAGTTGTCTTTATGAAGACCTTGTGTTGATGCCAGATAAGGGCCAGTTTAGGCCAAGGCGTGGAGCCCAAGACTTCTACTCTACCCATCTGACTTGACTTGGGACGATCCAGAAGACCTCACTGTTCAGCTGTCTTCAAAATGGAGCTGTTCTTTAACCCCTTCGACAGCTTGGTGTGTATCCTACTGGGTATCTCCTTCACTGTGTGGTTCACACTGCTGCTTGTGTTCATCATCGTGCCAGCCATCTTTGGGGTATCATTTGGCATCAGACGCCTCTACATGAAATCGTTGTTAAAGGTCTTTGAGGTAAGCACTCACACTAAAATGTTGTACACACGAAATAAGGACTTTTTAGAAAGTTTAAACAAGGCCAATCATTAATTTAAAGTTTTAAGTAATGTCGTAACATCCCAAACTGTCATACAAACTAAAATAGAAGAGATGAAATACTGTACAAACAAAAGCTAATCACCATTTCAAGATGCCTGGCAGACATGTAATGGAGAGCAAACAGGAAGATGTTTGCAAAGGGATGTCACATTGTGGCATTTTATTTGTTTCACTGGAATTGCTGTTGACTTGTAAGTTTTATGATTATAGACAATGTAATAAATAGGCATATATTCTGAAAATAAAAATTGTGTTTGAGGAAGGGTGTTTAACTTTGGATGTTCACTTGTTATTTTATGAAGCATGTAAGCATGGTTCATGCCTTACAGTGGTGGATATGGATTAACATTGCAGCCTGCTGTTATGTAATGGGGGGGGGGGTGGAGCTTGTCCCTAACTATAGTCACTAACTATAGTATGTCAAAGCTCCAGCTGCTTTAAATGCATCAAACTGTTGCCTTCCTCCAACATGGGACTAATATACTTGCCGTACATCAGTGTATGATCACAATTATTTGGTTGTGAGTTCTTGAAGTAAATTCTGGAAGAAAACAGAAAAATATGCCAGAAAAAAAGTGAGCCAGTGGGAACTGGTGCAGATTTCCTGAGCTCGAAATTCCAATAGCAAACATCAGGAATGTGGAAACTGTGGAAAGGACAAGCTGTACGAAACTGAATCAAGGTTTTTCAGGTTGTTCACGTACGGCAGTCGATTCCTCTAATAACACTTCTGTGAAAATTGTGACCATATTTAAATGATTTAAAGTAATTTCCCCGGTGAGATTTGACTTTTATGGAATGAACAACTTTTTGAATGGCTTTTGAATGCGCCATAAGACAGTCAAAGCAATGCCAAACATTCTTCACCTGAGCCTGTTTTTTGACTCACTTTCTTGACGTTAATATTCACTGAATTTGCTGCCATTGTTACATTCAGATGTATCACGCCTCGTTATGTTGCACTATCAAATGTAATTGTGTGGGCTGCTGACGTCCCGAACTTATTTTGGCTAACGTTCAAGAGAACATCATGTACTTTTCCTCTCTCAGAAGATTTATGTCCGTTCTGTTGTTGCTTAAAGGAAGGCCTTTTGCATTGATGTAGACTGCAACAATGCATACGTGATTGCAACTTGTAAACCTTTTAGCATGTGTAAAAAGAAAGACTGGAGAAATAAAATGTTCGCCAATGTAATTTGACTCTGTCACGTTGATTCTGTATAAGATGTGTAATAATCTTTCAACTCTTCTGTACTCTCCCACTGTTATTTTTGTAGTGGGCCACGCTGAGGATGGAGAGAGGAGCCAAAGAAAAGAATCATCCCTTGTATAAACCCTACTCAAATGGTAAGATTGAATATTATTGGGTTTCATTCTGTGTTCGTGCCCTGTGTGCTTCTTGATGACATCACTCTCCTCTGGATGGCTCTAGCTATCATTGCAAAACATCCCACTTCCTTGGAAGAAGAGATTAAGGAGATTCGGCGCAGTGGCAGCAACAGAGATCTGGACTCTGCGCCCGAGTTTGAAATGTCGGACATCTTCTATTTTGCTCGAAGAGGAGTGGAAAGCATCATGGATGACGAGGTGACCAAGCGGTTCTCGGCAGAGGAGTTGGAGTCTTGGAATCTGTTGACACGTAGCAACTACAACTTCCACTACATCAGCCTGAGGCTGACTGTGCTGTGGGGACTGGGCCTGCTGATCCGCTACGGCATCCTTTTACCTCTCAGGTATTGACTGTGCACATAATACAAATGTTTGATCAAGCTTTGGCCCACACAGTGACAACACGCAAATAAGTCAACAGATTAATGCTAATCCTCTTCTTCATTATTTTACTACCATTGGAGTAATAAATAAATGTTGACTGTTAAGTAACACTAACTGATGTAATTGTGCTACTGGGAACTGCTGTTAGTGCACCAACATCTCATTTGAGCTAAGAAAGAAAAAAAAAAAAGCAACATGCTTGTTTGGGACTCTGTTGATGGAAAAAGTGCTGCCCACTGAGACACTGTGCCATCTCATTATTGAGATATGAGCCCTTTTTGCTTTCCATTGAAAGCAAAAGTTTGAAAAGCAGCAAGACCTGTTGCCGTTATGAAAACGAGTTGAACCCCCGCAGCCCAAGCGACGTGGCCCAAACTCACTGAACTGTCGAGCAATGTCCGGGATTTGGCAACTGCAGTTCATGTGTGGCAAGGCTGCCTGGTTTTGACAATTAGGTAAACGTGCAGACTTCTGAAGTACAACACTAATATTGTGGTTACCGTGTTTAGCTACTCATTAGCTCAAAATTTGCAGCACCTCGTCGCGTGATATGGTGCAGTTCTATCAACTTACTTTGGTACTGTATTCTATCTTGTCGTGGCTGGGTGGCGTTTATATGCTTCATTGCAGTAACTGGCCTTCATTCGGAGTAAAATGTTTATGGGGGGCTGGTCATTTGTACAAATCCCAAATTTTTTATGTATAATATATATTTTATCCATCTCTTATCCCCCTCAGTAATCTTTGCGAGGTCAGTGTTGACATGTTGAGCTTCCTTTCATTTCACTCTGGAATGCTCTGTGTTGCATGTAGCAGCGCTTTCTCTTTTTACTCCCACCGCTACTTCCACAGTAAATTTCATCTTGTAAAGAGTGGCTGCTCTGCAGGCATTGTGTAAAATCGTAAAATTTTTGACGATTCATTTTTTTCCCCAAAGGGAAAAGGATGCTTTTATATGCTGATAATTAATGAGGCCAGTGCAGCGCAGACTCTTATTTACGGGAAAAACTTTATGAATGAATGATCATGAAATGACCATTATTTCCAGGCAGAAGGCAGATGTTTCTATATAGTCTGCACTGCAGTTAGCCCTATTGGATGGTGAAGCGTACCTAATGAAGCTTCAC